GGAGAAGCCCCTGAAACATTTCCTTTAAAGCAAGCCTGGTGGTGATTAACTCTTTTAGCTTTTGTTTATCTGTAAAACTTTCTATTTCTCTATCAAATCTGAGTGAAAGCCCTGTTGAGGATTCTTGGTTGTCAGTTTTTCCCTTTTACCACTTCAAAAATATCATGCCATTCCCTTCTGGCCTTCAGGGCTCCTGTTGCAAAGTCAGTTGATAGTTCTATGGGAATTTCCTTGTGTGCAACATTTTGCTGTTCCCCAGCTGCTTTTAATATTCTCTCTTTATCTTTAATTTTTGCCATTTTAATTAAAATGTCTTGGTGTGGTCCTCTTTGGGTGGATCCTGTGGGAACTCTCTGTCCTTCCTAGACCTTGATATCTGTTTCTTTCCCCAAGTTAAGGAAGTCTTCAGTTAATTTGCTTTCAAATATGTTCTCTGCCCCCTTTTCTCCCTTCTTCTGGGAGCCCTATCATGCAAATGTTAGTACATATGATGTTGTTTCAGAGGTTTCTTAAACAGTACTCATTTCTTTTTATTCTTTTTTTTTCTGTTGAGCTTCAGTGATTTCCACTACTCTGTCTTACAGCTCACTGATCCATTCCTCTGCATCATACAATTCACTGTTGATTCCTTCTAGTGTATTTATTTCAGTTATTGTATTCTTCACCTTTGCTTGGTCATTCTTTACATATTATAACTCTTTGTAAGAAATTCTAATTTCTCACTCTGTTAATCCAATCATTTCTTAGATTCTTTGATCATCTTACAATCACCACCTTGAGTTCTTTATTGGGTAGGTCGCTTATGTCCACTTCACTTAGCTCTTCTTATGGGCTTTTCGCTTGTTCTTTCATTTGCAACATGTTCCTCTGTCTCATATTGCCTAATTTCCTTTTTAATTTCTATGTATTTGGTAAGTTGATTACATTTCCTGACCTTGAAGTGACCTTTTCTAGGAAATGTCCTAGGAATCCTAGCAGTGCACTTCCTTCTGGTCACCAGAGCTGTATGCTGTAGGGACAATACCTACACAGGCTGTGTGGGTCCTTCTGTTGTGGACAATCTGGTAGGCATGGCTGGCCCCCAGTCTGGTTGGTTTCCAGACCTTACCTTGTGCAGAGGCTGTCAGCCACTGGTGGGCAGGGTCAGGTCACAAGGCAGCTGGCTACAGAGACCCAAGGGGTCCTGGGATCTCTGGCTGAAGGCCCTTGGGGGGTCCCAGAGCTGGTGTTGGCCTGCTGCTGGGCAGGGCAAGCGCCCAGTGGGTCCTGAGACTTCTGTTTGTCCACTGGCTGGTGAGACCTACTGGTTTGTGGAGCTGGGCCCTGAGATCTCTGGCTGAAGGTTTCTGAAGGTCCCAGAGTTGATGTGCCAGCCTACTGGTGGGTGAGGCTGGGGTCCAGGGGGTCCTGGGGTGGCGCTTGCTTACTGGTAGGTGATCCTGGCCCTGGGGATACTGCTGGCTTACTGGTGGGCAGATCCAGGTTCCAGGATCTCTGGCTGCAGAGCCTAAGTGGGGATTCCCAGGGCTAGTGCACACACACTGGTGTGCAGGGCCATGTCCTGAGCCCCCTATAGGTTCAGGGATTCTTAAAGCAACCAGCCTGTAGTGAGTGGGGCTGATTCCCTGCTTGGCTAGTTGTTTGGCTTGAGATGTCTCAGTATTGGTGCAGATAGGCTGGTGGGTAGGGCCACGTCCTGGCATTAATATGCTAAAGGGAAGATTCCTAAATTGTGCTTATGGGCTCCATTGGTAAAGAATGGTAGAATGAGCTCCCAAAATTGCCTACCACCAACGTCTATGTCCCTAGGGTGAGCTCCAGTGGCTTTCCACCTTTCCATGAGACTCTACAAGATCAGCAGGTGGGTCCGATCCACCTTTCAAATTACTGCTTCTGCCCTCATTTCCTGAGCATGTGGATTTTATACACGCTCTTTAAGACTAGAGTATTTCTCACAGTCTTTCAGCACTCTTGAAATTAAGCCCTGTTGGCCTTCAAAGCCAAATATTCTGGGGGCTCTTCTTCCCAATGGAGGACTCCAGGGCTGGGGAGCCTCATGTGGAGCTTGAGCCCCTAGCTGCTTGGAGAGAATCTCTGCAATTGTAATTATCATTCCACTTGTGGGCCACCAACTCCAAGGTATGGATCTTGATTATACTTTGTGTCTGCCCCTCTGTCTTGTTGTGGTTTCTTCTCTATATCTTCAGTAGTATAAGATCTTTTCTGCTAGTCTTCTGATCTTTCTCATCAATAGCTGCTCTGTAAATAGTTGTAATTTTGGTGTGTCCATGGAAGGAGGTGAGCTCAGGGTTTCCTAATTCACCAACTTGGCCATCAACCTGACCCTATTTATTTTCAAATGGGCATTGGTATATATTTTGCTGATGGCATTTTACATAGATGTATGTATATAAGTATTTCCTAGTGGAAGTATGAAACAAACCAACTGAATAATAAAGACTCATAACTATTTAAATGAACTTCATCCCCACAGGATGCATATTTAGAAGTATAATCCTCACAAAGGTATTAAAAACAACACTTACAGGAGAAATAAAGAGGAAATTATTCAATGACAGTGAGTCCTTTTTTCTCATTCACAACACTATCATTGATAAAACTTATGTCTTTGCACTCATACAGTTTGATGAATAAAGAGTAAGCACTCTTTAATGCAAAATAAGACCACAATGAGATATCATTACACATCCACAAGAATGAATAACATTAAAAAGACAGACCATAACAAGAGTTGGCAAGTATGCAGAAACACTGGAAGTGCTAGTGGGAATATAAACAGTACAACCACTTTGGAAAAAAGTTTGATGATTCATTATAAAATTAAACATCATTCACTATATGACCCAGCAATTCCACCCCTAGGTATTTACCAAAGAAAAATAAAAACACATGTCTGTGCAAAGACTTGTACATGGATGTTCATAATAGTTTTGTTGGTGATAGCTGAAAACTGGAAGTAACTTAAATATCCAGCAACAGGTGAATGGATAAACAAATTGTGTTATATGCATACAATACTACTCAGAAAAAAAGATAACTACTGATTTATACAATACGGATCAATATCAAAAAGTTTACACTGAGCAAAACAATGAAAATACAAAAGGGTATATAATGTATGATTCCATTTATAAGAAATTCTAGAAAAGATAAAACTAATTTGTGGTGACAAAAATAGAGCAGCGGTTGCCTCAGGGAAGGACCTGACTGCATAGGAACATGAGGAATCCTTTAGGGTCATGAGATGTTTTGTATCTGAAAAAAGTATATACATATGTATAAATTCACCAAACTGAGAATTAGGTATTCATACAGATAAACAGGCTTTCAAATGACTAACTGAGCTACCCAAAAATTAAATTTACCTTGTGGGAGGGTAGAGGTTAATGTACAGGTTAAGACACCATTTGGCATGTTGAGTGGATTTACACATTAAATGGGTAGTTGAAGATGATCTTTAATCTCCTTCCCAATCATGAGATACTCTGACCACCATTTATAGAGAATATCACTTTCCATCCTAAAATGGCCCATTCCAAGATAGGAAAGTGTTTTATACTATGATTATTTACCCTGGACATTAATGAGAAGGTTTCATGACATTTTTTTTCTAATCAGACTGCTTTTTATATAATTTCATGCACACTCTTTCAATGTGGTTTCACTGAGTATGAAACTTTCCAAAAGTTCCTGTTATTATTAATAAGTGAAGCTATTTAATGGCATTGTGGGTAGCACTGAACATTTTTTACAATTTAATTGCCTTGTTTTTGCTTTAAAACTTTTCTAGTATCTCTAGCAGTACAAGCCAAAGGCCCAGAAGATGGCTAGAGAAACCAGGGTTTCACATCTTTAAGAGGTTTTGTGTTTTAAGGGACCATTAAAACCTGTAGAATTCTTTTTGTGTGTGTTTATTCTAATGATTTTTCCATTTTTTTGTGTGTGAAAATACATATTTACTAGTTTTATCATTTTAGTAGCTTTTAAAACAAAGAATGGTTTTATATAAATTGATGGCTCACACAGAAAAATTTCAGAATGTGAAGTATTACAAACATGATTTTATTATTTTTTAATTTATTTATTTTAATTGGAGGCTAATTACTTCACAATATTGTATGCCAAAACATGATTTTCAGTTCAAATAAGAAACAATGTCTTTAGGTCCTATGCCTTTTCAGATGACTATATAAGTCATAATAGCACATTGAAAATCAGAATGCAAATAGCCCAAGTGAATGTTTAACAACAGAGGATTCTCTCAGCTGTTTATTAAGTGCAATCCAAAATCTAAAGCAGCTGAGACAGGTGCTTATTTCATTCCTGTTATTAGTAATTAGTGATTAAATTTAATGGTGTTTGTAAGTAGCTCTTGAGCATTTGCCATATTAAATAGGGTTTAAATATAAGGGGCCATTAAAATGTAGTTTTGAAGCCTAACAGACTTGGACAAACAGGTATTTTGAATAATCAACACCTCTGGAGCATATGCCAAGTCTAAATGGCAAAATTGGTCCATTTATTGTGGGCACAGAGGTGACCTTGTAGCTGCTGAATACACTGCATTTATGGAGATTGAACGGTATCCAGATGGTAGATAACTATTCTGTTTACTAAACTGTGGATACCTGATACTCCTGTCATTGTTTTGCCATGACATAACTATGTTTTTAGTCTCTCCTATATTCACAAAAATTGCCATTATCATAGCAATTGTCTGTTGACAGACAGCTATCAAGTGAATGAATATTTCATCATCCCACACCTTTCCTATGAATTAAACAGACATTTATAAGAAAAAAACAAAAAAAAATAAAATGGCCCATTCATATATTTTTTTAAATCTGAGAAGTTTTACTATCTTGGCATATAATAACAATCAGAAAAATACACTGCAGGTCAGGGTCCCCTACATCCATGGTTCTTTAAAGTAATAAAGAAGATATGAATCAAATACTATATCCCGAGAAATATCTTACCAGCTGTGCAGCCAAGACACTTGAGAACTCACTATTCATGGCATATGGGAGTGCTGTTTGTGCTCTTGAACCATATGTAGTCTGGAACCTCTTCTTTATCTCATTCAGAAAATTAAAGGCTCGCGAACGCTCAAAATCCTGAGGAGATGAATACAGAGTTAACATTAAACAAAAATGATATGGATAATTAACAACAACCATAAGAACAGCTAATATTTACTGAGCAATGATTCTATGAGGAGGAACTGACCTCATTTTACAGATAAAGAAACAAAGGCTCTGAAAAGAAACTAACTTGCTAAAAGTGAAACTAGTAAATGAAAGAGCTGAGTTGAATCCAAATGTTAGATTACTGCCAACTAAGATAACAGTACCTAGGTTACCGTCTTAAGAGCAGAAATTGGGTTTTACCCCATCCATATCTTTCACAGGATCTATTAGAAAGCCTAGCACAAGAAAATGCTTGAGAAATCCATAGTAATAGTACAGTCTTTCACACACAAAGATAACACTACTGACATAAATTTTTAATTAACTTTTTTCAATAGTGGTGGTATACTTGAAAAGATCAAGGAATGTATTCTTGTCTAGTTCCAGTCAAAAAGTGTGTGTGTAACCTATACACAAAAGCACAATTATAGCTTAAGAAATGTAAGACTCAACTCTGACCATCCCAAATTCAGTGCTATTTCTCACCTACTCCCAGAACTTTCACATCAGTCATTTCAGATATAACTGGATTTTTAAAATAATTTTAGAAGATACTGTGAAACCAGGGAATATAAGTCACTGTGATAATCACTGTGGTTGACACACACCTCCATTTCACCTAAGATGAGTAGTCTAAGCCAAAAGTTCTTAAAGTTGGGTCAATGGTCCAAATTCAAGGGGCCAATGTACTTGGATTAAAAAAAAAATCTCATCATTATTTTCACCAATCTTTAACTCAAATTTCAACTGTGAATGTAGTAACAAAATAGAGTAGTATTAAACAGTACCTGGGACTCTGTCACCAAGAGAAGTCTTTTTTGCATATATCATCAGTTACAGACATCTCTCAAAATATCATTAATACTTATCACCACATCAAAACTATGTTTATTAAATCCGTGACTATATCTTGTTATTAGTGAATTCATAAAGAAGCATATATTACTAAATCAATATTTATACCATTCTGAATACTGTGAAAGTGAAAGTCACTCAGTTGTGTTCGACTCTTTGCGACCCCATAGACTGTAGCCTGCCAGACTCCTCTGTCCATGAAATTCACCAGGCCAGAATACTGGAGTGAGTAGCTGTTCCCTTCTCCAGGGGATCTTCTCAACTCAGAAATGAAACCCAGGTCTCCTGCATTGCAGGCAGATTCTTTATCAACTGAGCCACCAGGGAAGCCCTGAATACTGAATTTCATTATAACTGTTATTACCAGGTTGGTGCAAAAGTAATTTTGATTTTGCATTGTTGAACTTTGCCATTTGATATTGAAATACATTTTTAAATACATGTGGTCATGTTACATGCCATTTTAATGAGCATTTCTTGTTTTATGATTTTTGCTAATTATTACTTGCTAACTATATGTATTTTAGACTATGGAAATGATATTAGGCAAAAAGTAAATCTGAGTGATTTTCTTATTTGAGTTCAATATGGGTCATAGCTGCAGAGACAACTCACAACATCAACAACGTGTCTGACCTAGGAACTTCTAACAAATGTACAGTGCAGTGGTAGTTCAAGAAGTTTTCCAAAGAAATCTAGTCTTGACAATAAGAACCACAGTGGCTGGCCATCAGAAGTGGACAATAACTAACTAAGAGCATCATCAAAGCTGATCCTCTTACAACTGCATGAGAAGTTACCCAAGAACTCAATGTTGATCATTCTATGGTCATTTGGCAATTGAAGGAAATTGGTAAGGTGAAAAAGTTTGATAAGTGGTTGCGTACTGTGGTTGTTGTTCAGTCACTCAGTTGTGTCCGACTATTTGCAAGCCCATGGACTGCAACACATCAGGCTTCCCTGTCCTTCACCATCTACCAGAGCTTGCTCAAAATCATGTCCATTGAGTCAGTGATGCCATACCACCATCTTGTCCTCTGTCATCCCCTTCTCCTTCTGCCTTCGATACTTTCCAGCATCAGGGTCTTTTCTAATGAGCTGGCTCTTTGCATTAGGTGGCCAAAGTATTGGAGCTTCAGCATCAGTCCTTCCAATGAATAGTCAGAGGTGATTTCCTTTAGGATTGACTGGTTTGATCTCCTTGCAGTCCAAGGGACTGTCAAGAGTCTTCTCCAACACCACAGTTCAAAAGCATCAGTTCTTCAATGCTCGACCCTCTTTATGGTCCAACTCTCACATCCATACATGACTACTGGAAAAACCATAGCTTTGACTATATGAACCTTTGCTGGCAAAATAATGTCTCTGCTTTTTAATGTCTAGGTTGGTCACACTTTCTCTTCCAAGGAGCAAGGTCCTTTTAATTTCATGGCTGCAGTCACCATCTGCAGCAATTTTGGAGCCCAAGAAAATAAAGTCTCACTCTTTCCATTGTTTCCCCATCTATTTGCCATGATATAATGGTAACAGATGCCATGATCTTTGTTTTTTCAATGTTGAGTTTTAAGTCAGCTTTTTCACTCTCCTCTTTCACCTTCATCAAGAGGTTCTTTAGTTCTTCTTCACTTTCTGCCATAAGGGTGGTGTCATCTGCATATCTGAGGTTATTGATATTTATCCCAGCAATCTTGATTCCAGCTTGTTCTTCATCCAGTCTGGCATTTTGCATGATGTACACTGCATGTAATTAAATAAACAGGGTGATGATATACAGCTTTGACATACTCCTTTCCCAATTTGAAACCAGTCTGTTGTTCCATGTCCTGTTCTAAGTGTTGCTTCTTGACCTGCATACAGGTTTTGCAGGAGGCAATTAAGGTGGTTTGGTAGTCCCATCTCTTTAAGAATTTTCCAGTTTGTTGTGATTCACAGAGTCAAAGGCTTTAGAGTAGTCCATGAAGCAGAGGTTGATGTTTTTTTAAAATTCTCTTGCTTTTTCTATGATCCAACAGATGTTGGCAATTTGATCTCTCTCTGGTTCCTCTGCCTTTTTTAACTTCAACTTGAACATCTGGAAGTTCACAGTTCATGTACTGTAGAAGTCTGGCTTGGAGAATTTTGAGCATTACTTTGCTACATGTGAAATGAGTGCAACTGGGCAGTAGTTTGAACATTCTTTGGCTTTGCCCTTCTTTGGAACTGGAATGAAAACTGATCTTTTCCAGTCCTGTGGCCACTGCTGAGCTTTTAAAATTTGCTGGCATATTGAATGCAGCACTTTAACAGCATCATCTTTCAGGATTTGAAATAGCTCAGCTGGAATTCCATCACCTACACTATCTTTGTTCATAGTGATGTTTCCTAAGGCCCACTTGACTTTGCCCTCCAAGATGTATGGCTCTAGGTGACTGATCACACCATCATGGTTATCTGGGTCATGAAGATCTTTTTGTATAGTTCTTCTGTGTACTCTTGCCACCTCTTCTTAGTATCTTCTGCTTCTGTTAGGTGCCTACTGTTACTGTCCTTATTGTGCTCATCTTTGCGTGAAATGTTCCCTTGGTATCTCTAATTTTCTTTAAGAAATCTCTAGTCTTTCCAATTGTATTGTTTCCTTCTATTTCTTTGCATTGTTCACTTTGAAGTCTTTATCTCTTGTTGCTATTCTTTGGAACTCTGCATTCAGATGGGTATATCTTTCCTTTTCTCCTTTGCCTTTTGCCTCTCTTCTTTTCTCAGTTATTTGTAAGGCCTCCTCAGACAACCTTTTTGCCTTCTGAGCTGACCACAAATCAAAAAAAAATCATCATTTTGAAGTGTTACCTTCTTTCATTCTACACAACAACAAACCACTTCTTGGTTGGATTGTGATGTGTGACAAAAACTGGATTTTACACAACAACCAGCTCAGTGGTTGAACTGAGATGAAGCTCCAAAGCACTTCCCAATGCCAAACTTGCACCAAGGAAAAAAAAAGGTATTAGTCACTGTTTGGTTGTCTGCTGCCCATCTGATCCACTACAGCTTTCAGAACCTTGGCAAAACCATTAACATCTGAGAAGTGTGCTCAGAAAATTAAGGAGATGCACCGAAAATTGCAATGCCTGCAGCCGGCATCAATCAACAAAAAGGGCCCAGTTCTCTGCAACAATGCCTGGCCAGTCACATAACCAATGCTTCAAAAGTTGAATGAATTAGGCTATGAAGTTTTGCCTCATCTGCCATATTCACTTACCTCTTGCAAACTGACTACCACTTCTTCAAGCATCTCAACAACTTTTTGCAGGGAAAATGCTTCCATGACCAGCAGCACACAGAAAAAGCTTTCCAAGAGTTCATCAAATACTGAAGCACGGATTTTTTTTGCTACAGGAATAATCAAACTTATTTCTCATTGGCAAAAATGTGTTGACTGCAATGGTTCTTATTCTGATTAATAAAGATGTGTTTGAGCCTAGTTATAATGACTTAAATCTCAGGGTCCAAAACCACTATTACTTTTGCAGCAACCTAATAAAATCATGCATTTAAAAAATTCTGGGAGGGATCTACGAACAGCAAAGAGGTCTGTGATACAATAAACGTTAAGAACCATGACCTATGGCAATCATGCCAATTCCATGCCTCTTGTATGTGATCAATTTAAAAAGAAGTACATAACCTAGTCCTAGCCAATAAGGCATGAAAAGTCCACTTTGAAAGTGGGAGAAGAGAAAGGTGTGCCTCTGGGGAGTTTCCTCATTCCTGCAGGAAGAGACTTGAGAAGACATAGCCCCTCTTTTTGGGACACAAATAAATAAGCACATAGCTCTTTGAAACCATAAGGGAAATGTGTCCAAGAATAAGTCGACACTAGGATTGCAGAGAGGAGAGAGGACCTTGATGACATTATTAAGGTATTGAGCATTTTGCATCAAGCTTAAAATACTCAAAAAACAACCTATCAATGTAAACTATGGGTTTACAAAGTTGATTATAATGTGTTGTGATTTTATTTTCCCAAAGTCCACATACATTAAAAAATTCACTAACTATTGATTAAAGGAATGAAATAACCTATTTACTATTTCAGATAAATTTTGAGAGGGTCTGATACTGAAGAACCATAATAATGAACACCAATTCTCACTACACAATAAATTAAGTGTAGAAGTTATAATAAAAGGTTCAGTTAAAACTCTACAAAACCAAACTGATTTGTGTATACCCAGATATCAACTTTTTCTGTGATTTGCTGCTCTATATTACAAATGCAAAGCATAAAAAACAATTTTGAGCTACAGAAAGTTATATTTGCATCAACTTTACCCACCACATACAGATAATTAAGAACTAACTCTACTAATATTACACACAGTTAAAGAGCAACATGTCCTCAAATTACTTACATCATCAGTGATACAAAGATATACAATCCTGTCTTGGCAGATGTAATGAAACAGATAACTGTAGAATAAAAGATATAAAACTTACTGTGGTTATGAGCAATATCTCTTTCACTTCTATCTTCTATCTACGTATAAGAAATTTTAGAACTGCCAACATGACCATATTATTTACAAATACTGTCTATTTTCCCTCTCCCCTATAGTCAAACTTGATAGATATAAATAAGAAATTAAAACAAGGTCTCTATCTTATCTAAATAGTGCAACATCATGCACATTATCCATAAAAATAATGTCTAAGAAAGCATACTTGGACTGTTTTTGCTCTGCTGCATGGCATGCCGGATCTTAGTTCCCTGACCAGGGATTGAACCCAGGCCCTAGCACGGAAAGCACTGAATCCTAACCACTGGACTGCTAGGGAAGTCTCAGATTCTTAAGGTTTGAACAAAAGATGACATCTGAAGGACACATAATTAAGATAAACACCCAAATGGGCCACACAGAGCAAACATTTTTTTCTACCAGATACTCAACAATAACATATATTTGGCATCGACTAGGAGACAGTTACTGGGCTAGGTGCTGAGGATACAAATAAGCAAAATCATCAGTCCCTGCCTTCAGAGAATGAAAGTGCAGGCAATTGTGGAACTGCATAGTAAAGAGGATGATAAAGAGTTAGAGGGGAGGGGAAGAGTTAAAGGCAGTACATGGTGCTATGGGGATATAGAAGAGACACCTATATCTATATAGAGGAGTTTGGCAAAGTGTAACTGGAGGATATCCCGGAGCACATGTCTAAGCTGAACCTGAAGACTAAGTAAGAGATGGCAAGAAGAAGAAGTGAAGAGAGTTCTGGAATGAGAGACCAACAAGCTTAAGGGCTTTGAGATAAAACAGCACATAATGGGTTTGAAAGTAAAATTAATTAACATGGCTAAAGTACAGAATGTACAGAACAAAAATAAATGGCTTCCACAAAGGAAGTTGTAAGTAAGCAAATACTTTCAAATCTTGTATAAGGTTTTCAAGTCTCACTATATCTATATAATCCTAAGAACAATGATCAAGCATCAGACGGTTTTAGCAAGGGGACAGTGTGATCAGAACTGCCACGAAAAGGATGCTTTGGCTAGAGTATGAGAGCTGACCAAGAGGAGGAGCAGACAGGAGACTACTGAAGTAGAACAGTGAAGGAAACAAACTAAAGTACTATGGGCAACGAAGAAGGAGGAACAGAGAAAAGAACTTGAGGACTGGCTACTGGGGCTGAGGCAGAGGGATAACTCGATTTTGCTTCCCAGATTTCTACCCTGGTCAAGTAGATAGACAAGAGTAGCTGATGAACTGTATCATTAATGTTCACGTAGAGGTTTGATGTGAATTATAAGGAGATATTGGAACTCAAATGTCTTCCTCCACCACTCTGAAACTGTTCACATCAACTCCACCAATGATTTCCACACTCCACATCCAGTGGCTCTCTCTGATACATCTGATACTGCTGACCACTTCCTCTAGAAACTGCTCTCTCTTCACTAGATTTCTTGACACCAGGCTTGCCTGGTTTATATGGTAATCTCTTTCCCTCTCTGTTGATGCTTTCCAGCATCCTCAGCCCCCTGCTTTTCCCACAAAGACTCCTTGGAGGGTGGCACCCACTTTCATGTTTTGCTGTCAATACCTGTTTTCAGCTAATACAATTACACTGATTTCCAAAACTAAATTTGACCTATCTCCTGAGCTCAAGGCTTGAATATGCTACTGTTGGCTAGACATATCTAACTAGACATACCATAGACAAACACAGCAGGTGCAAAAATGAAAGTCATCATTTCCCCCACAAAATTTGTTTCTGCTAAACCACACATTTTGCCTTTTCATACTGTTCATGGGGTTCTCAAGGACTTTGGAAGTTCTTTGAAAGGATGGATGCTGAAGCTGAAACTCCAATACTTTGGCCACCTGATGCAAAGAACCAACTCATTGGAAAAGACCCTGATGCTGGGAAAGATTGAAGGCAGAAGGAGAAGGGGACAATATAGGATGAGATGGTTGGATGGCATCACCGACTCGATGGACATGAGTTTGAGCAGGCCCCGGGAGCTGGTGATAAAACACGGAAGCCTGGTGTGCTGCAGTCCATGGGGTCGCAAAGAGTCAGACACGACTGAGCAACTGAACTGACTGAACTGAAACCACACTTAGAATTGATGCTTTAGAACTGTGGTACTAGAGAAGACTCTTGAGAGTTCCTTGGACAGCAAGGAGATCAAACCAGTTAATCTTAAAAGAAATCAATCCTGAATACTCATTGAAAGGACTGATGCTAAAGATGAAGCTCCAATACGTACGCCACCTGATGTGAACAGCTGACTCATTGGAAAAGACTCTGATGCAAGGAAAAATTGAAGGCAGAAGGAGAACAGGTCAACAGAGGGTGAGATGGTTGGATGACATCACTGATTCAACGGATGTGAACTTGGGCAAACTCCAGGAGATGATGAGTGACAGGGAACCTGGCATGCTGCAGTCCACTGGGTCACAAAGAGTCAGACACAACTTGGTGACTGAACAACAACAACAAAACCACACCTGGCAGTACCTTGGTGCAAAGACCATAGGAGGTAATGAGGTATAGTTGTTGCCATCAAGGATCCTACAGTCAGGGGACAGAGACAAAAAATGAAGATTGCAATTATAACACAGTGTCAGAAGTGCTATAATGGATAAACACAGGATACAATGGAGACACATAAAAAGGGGGCACCTGGCACAGTCTTGGAGTTTTCAGAGGTTTATAGAAGAGGAAACATAAGCTCAGGAAGAACAACTCAAATTTTGAAAAAGTAACAGCTATTGCAGAGGCTAGAAAGAGAGAACGAACCCAGAAATGATATGCACATAGCTAAGTATGGCTGAAGAACAAAACTGAGGGCTCAAGTAATGAGAGATGAGGCCAGAAGAGGCAGATTTTGAGAAATTTTTCAAGTTGTGTTAAGAAACTTTACCCTGAGTACCTGCTGAAGGAAGGGACATTATTAGAATCACCCTTTTAGAAGGAGTAAAGTGAAAATTAGAAAGTATTTCATTTGGGACCTGTAAAATGAGCAAAAATGTACCAGGGGGCCTAGGAGGGAAGGACATTCCAAGGTGCAAAATAAAGAAAAAAATATACCAAAGCTTAAAATAACATAGATAGGTCTGGGAATGACAAAGATATCTATAGAGACAAAGATAGAAAAGTCAGAAATAGATAAAATAATGAAGGCTTAGTTTGGGTTTTAAGCAAGAAAGTATCATCTTAGGAATGTTGAATACAGATTTAAGGAGGGACAAACTAGAAGCAGAAAAACCAGTTGCGGTTTAGTCACTCAGTCATGTTCAACTCTTTGCAACCCTATGGACTGCAGCCTGCCAGGCTCCTCTGTCCATAGAATTCTCCAGGCAAGAATACTGGAGTAGGTTGCCATTCCCTTCTCCAGGGGATCTTCCTGACCCAGGGATCAAACCCGTGTCTCCTGTGCTGCAGGTGATCTGCATTGCAGGTGGATTCCTTACCGACTGAGCCACCAGGGAAGCCAAAAAAACCAGTTAGGAGGAGGTCATTAGGAATGAGAAACAATGAATGCCTGAACAAACACTGTGATGAATGTGGAGAGAGGAGACTGAAATACCTCTTCTAGCAGAATGGCAAAGATTTGGTGAAGAGGTCAAATGTGATTCTGAAGTTTTAAGGTCAGCCAGCTGAATGACTGGTGATGCTATTAATGAAAGAAAGAAATAGCAAGAAGGTCAGATTTCAGGAAGAAATTATTTTCATACAGTAAAATGGAACTTTTACTTTTGGTATATAGTAATAACACTGGAAAAGACCCTGATGCTGGGAAAGATTGAAGGTGGGAGGAGAAGGGGATGACAGAGGATGAGATGGTTGGATGGCATCACCAACTCGATGGACAAGAGTTTGAGTAAGCTCCGGGTGTTGGTGATGGACAGGGAAGCCTGGCGTGCTGCAGTTCATGGGGTCACAAAGAGTCGGAAATGACTGAGTGAACTGAACTGACTAAAATAAAAGATATCTTTGATTGGGATGACAGAACATGATTATAGGAAAGAAACCAAGGTAGAAGCTTAAAAAGAAAGAAACAACTCAGTGATGGATACTTACTCCAAATGAGACCAGGTAGGACTGGGTAAGGGTGCAGGTAGAAAGACATAGCAGATGAGTAACATTGCTTTCTTGCAGTATAACCACATTTTCATTGGATTACATAGTCTATCTTCCCTTAGAGTTAGATATGGCTATGTGATAAGTTCTGCCTGATAAAATGTGAGTAGAAGGTACATACCCTGCTTCCCAGTCTTGCCTCTAAAAAGATGACACATGCTTTCCTTGAGCATTTTCCTGGGAACTGACTAGAAACACGATTGTTAAGCCCAGCAAATTTTTTAAGAAACCCTAAAGCCATACTCACAAGCAACTGGGGTCATTTAACCCCCAGGTAACTTTTCAGACCCTAAACTATACCAGCAAGTAGTAGACTACGCAACCTGTACAGTTCCCAAAGATGACAAACTCACTAATACCCATTTTGGACGTGGCCACAGAGGATAATGTACCAGGAAGAGTCTCCGGGAGAACAAAGGGAGAAAAGATGAAGAAATTCTTCCAGCAAAGCAGAACCACTCCTGGGTCAGAACAGGAGTCTCTGAAATTGCTGTGGGGTAGTTATTTGAATCCTGCTGGGAAGCAGTGACATCTACATGTCAATAGGCCACAGGAGTCACCCCTGGGTATGATGGAGCAGACTGTATCATCCAGATTGTCTGGACCTGGAGTTGGACAAAGCAATCAGATAAATTTTGGGGGCCACTTCCTGCAGAGAGGAAGTGTGTTCTTTGGGAAGTAGAGTACATCCAAATATTTTGGAGGCCCAGAACAGTAGACTGGAAGATTGTGAGCTGTCTCCTGATACCCTATAACTTCTTCCAGAGTAATGGGAGTTTTAGCTGAGCACATGGCTACATAGCTAGAAATGACAAATTCTAGTCTCCATTTCCAGCTAGGTTAGCTACATAATGATGTAGTGAACAATACCATCAGCCACTTCTGGACTGTACCTTAAAAAATACCAGAACTGAAGAAGCTGCCTTGGCCAGAACTGGAAGGCACTAATTAAAACTGGCAGAGCCACTCCAACAGTCCCGAAGTCCTCATCTCTGGGTTATCTCATAAATTAACACTGTCTTTTAGGATCTCTCTGTTGCAGTAGCTTACACTAAATCCTACATGATACAAGGAGTTAGTTCTGGAAACCAGCAAGTACCTCCTCCTGAGATAGGGTCTAAGGAAATTAGGATGAGTTAGGTAGCAAAAGATTTTTTAAGTATTAAGGAGGAAGGCTGAGGCAATATTTATGATTACTAAGATTTTCCACCTATGCCCCCTTCAATTCATTCTCCAACCAGCCACAACAGTGATCTTTCTAAAGCAAAATCTTACCATGTCACACCCCAGCTGGAAATGTTCAATGCCTTCCCATTGCCCATTGTGTAATGTACAACCCCTTAACATGGCCTGTGAGGCCCTATAGGACTTCTCTTCTGTCAATCTCTCTAGCTATATTTTCATGACGTTGGGCACCAGTCACAGAGAATCACCCAAAATTCGCTAAATATGCACTATGAGCTCATGTCTCCATACTTTTCTACCAGATGTTCCTTCTACCTGGAATACCACCCCCCTACCCATTACCTTCTACCCTCTACTATAATTATCTATGAATTTGACCATCTCCTTCATTAAACTATAACCTCCTTTAAATAACGAGGACAAATACTGAGTAATTTCTTGTATCTCCAGCACCACCAAAGTGTCTGGTGACAGTCAAGTGCTCAGTAAATATTTATAGAAAGAATGAACAAATAATTATTATTTATCATAACTATACCAAGTTTTACATACCCTAGAGCTCTATAGCAGAGTCACTTTTACATCTAACATTTCCATATTGTTCTTTAAAATACGAGTATCACTTAGGTGACAGAATAAAGTAATTTTAAGTTAAATTTAAAATTAATAGAACCAGACATTTTCTAAGCTGGTAAAGATTATTGTTCTGTCAGCTTATTCAAATTATCTGCTGAGAAGCTTGCTTTTCTAGTTTTCTACTGTTCTGAGTATAATAATAAAATTCACTTCTTTTATACCCACTACCCACACAGAGCAGAACTCACTTGCCGTGTGAGTACGTTAGTTTGTTATTTTCAGAAGGTATCTTAGCCAGAATCTGCTCTGTCACCTCCAGGAAGTTGCCTCCACACCAAGCATGTTTGGCAAGGATAGTGGTTCCCCTGGCAACGACAGCAAAAAGAATGGCCATGGCTTCAATCTATCAAAAAAAAAAGACACATAAGACTTAGAATATTTCTTTAACATAACCTTTCAAAAGTAACTTACTATCATTTACCAACATCCATCTGGAGACAATATTGAACAGACTTAACAAGGTCACAGTCTTGTACAAGCCTAAAACACACTGATGTGCATTCAAATATAGAGACAAATCAAATGGATACACATATATACTTTTATGTATATGTGTGTGTGTACACAATGCAATGCATATGATACATACATACACACACAATTACATTGATAGATAGGTTGCATTTGCAAATTATACAGCACAGATATCACCCCCTGAAAAGCAATGACTATAGATGGCAAAGGGACAGAAAGATATCTTCATCCTTTAATGGAGTGCTCTCATCTTGAAAATTTTACCCTAGGGAAACAGTTCAATAAAAGTTAGAGTCTAGATTCACAAATACATGTATTATCAACAATAATATCCCATATTTATTAAGTATTTACTATATACCAGGCACAATTTTAAGCAGTTTACATTTATTAACTCATTTAATCCTTACATCAATTAAATTAATACCCTATTATGACACTTATAGTAAAATGAGGAAACTTAAGGATAGATGACTTAGATAATTTATCCAGAATTACAGAACTAAAATTACAGTGGCAAACGTCGTGATTTAAACTGAGGAAATATGATTCTAAAACCCACAATTTTATCTCTATACTATATACTGCCTCTACTATGAAGGCATTAACCATCACAGAAACAAAGTGAAAATAACCCAAATCTTCAACAAGAGAGGAATGGTTCTATAAATTATTGTAAGATCTTTTTGTTGTTGTTGTTCTTTTTTTTTTTTCATTTATTTTAGTTGGAGGCTAATTACTTTACAACATTGCAGTGGTTTTTGTCATACATTGAAATGAATTAGCCATGGATTTACATGTATTCCCCATCCCGGTCCCCCCTCCCACCTCCCTCTCCACCCAATCCCTCTGGGTCTTCCCAGTGCACCAGGCCCGAGCACTTGTCTCTTTAAGATCTTTTATAAACAAAATATTTCAAAAACAATACAGCATGAGTTTAACACTATAGTAATACCTCAGAGATACTGGAGGTTCAGTTCTAGACTACCACAATAAAGCAAATATAACAATAAAACAAGTAATATGAACGTTCTGCTTTCCCAATGTATACAGAAGATATGTTTATAATATGCTATAGTCTACTAAGTGTGCAACAGCATTATATCTAAAAAAATAATATACATGTCTTAAATAAAAATACTTAATTGTTAAAAAATGCTAACCATCATGTGAGCCTTCAGCAAGTCATAGTAGTAACATCAGAGATGACTGATCACAGATCACCATAACAAATAAAATGAAAAAGTTTGAAATATTGCAAGAATTATTAAAATGTTACACAGAAACATGAAATGTGCAAAATATCATTGGAAAAGTGATGCTGACAGACCTGTTCAATGCAGTTGCTACAAACCTTTGATTTGTTTCAAAAAAAAAAGGCAATATCCATGAAGCACAATAAAGCATACTTCAATAAAAAGGTTTGCCCATATTTTCCTCACGTTTATGAATTTATACTATCTTTCCCCATAGAACAGTCAGGTTTCTCTTATTTAATGCCATAAACTTATAAAAGGGATGAACAAATGTCTTCCTATTCTTCAACTAAATCTTCAACCTAATGCTATTTGTTAACATGTTCCATTTCATCCAATAAGCCAGAGTCATCCTGGGTGGCAGAGTGAGAATCCCTTATTAAAACTTCAAATCCCTGGTATAATCTCCTGAAATTCTGATTCAAGTAGGCCTGAGGTAGGGCCCTGAACTATACATTTAAGCCAACCCAGTCTAGATGCAGGTGATTCACAGGACCACATTTTGTGAAACACAGCAATTATATTGAGGTGAGGGAATCCACTGATTCCCTCTTGGAATGTCCTTGGTAAGAAGGACACTATACAGAAGTGCTCATCTGTCTCTTGAGCTGAACTCCTCTTGAGGTCTCTTCATTTCACTCTCTATATGAAAGTGTTTCCAGGGTTGTGTTCTCAGCCATCTTCTTCCTGGGTTTCTCCAAACACATATGTAGTAGCATGTCTTAATTTCCAAATGACTCGCTCATACATTATATCCCTTGATTCTAAAAGCCTCAACTGGTGGAGGAATAGGATGGGGAAACCACTTTCTCCCCCACAAATTCATCAAAAGATCATTTGAATGCTGAGCAACTTCCACAAAACAACTTCTGAACACTGGCAGAGGACACCAAGCACCCAGAAAGGCAGTCCATTCTCTATGAAAGGAGTAGGACAAAATATAATAGACAAAAAGAGAGACAAGAGTCAGGGATGGAGACCCATCCCGGGGAGGGAGTCGTGAAGGAGGAGAAGTTTCCAAACATCAGGAAACCCTCTCACTGGCGGGTCTGTGGGGAGTTTGGAATGTCAGAGAGCAACATAACCAGGAGAAAGAAAAAGAAAACCCACAGAATACAAGCCTAACTACAACTGCCAGTGGAAGAAGTAGCCCAGATGCTCGCGTCTGCCAGCAGCGAGGAGGTGCTGAACAGGGAGGTGCGGGCTGCATTGCTTAGGGTAAGGACAGGGCCTGAATGCCCTGAGGGCAATCTGAGGGAGCTAAGGTGAGATAGCAACCCAAACCATGGGATAGCCAGAGAGAGGAAAAAAGAGAGAGAGAGAACTTCCCCACAAAAAGCTCTAACCTAATGCACAGCCTGGCCAGCTCACAGAACAAAGGACTGAATGATCACCAAAAGAGAGCTGGCTGGCTGCGGACCGGCCCCTCACCCTCCGGAGGCAGAGAGGCAGGAGTGCAACAGCCATAGCCTGAAGGCGAGGGGCCATCTCAGTCCCAGAGATGGCATCCTCCACCAAGCTGTGAGCAGGCTTCCTGTTGCTAACCACATCTTCCTGGGATACTGGACGGTTGACATCTGCCAGGAGGGTCACAGCCTGAGATCAGCCCCCCAGAGGAGACATACAGCACACCTGAGATGGTGCTCTCACGGCGCACCCGGGAAACCAAGGCACCAGGACCAGGGAGGAAATTAAGATGAACGGCCCACATGGGACAGTGCGCTCGCCAAGAACCTGGTCACCTGAGCTGCTTGGACCTGGGAAGGGCACAAAACACAAGACCTGCTTTGGACAGTTCCCCTGCAGAGCAACCTGGATCCTGAGCAGTGTAGACTGGGAAAGCACAGGCCATCGCGAGCTGGGGCAAACCCAGTGTGATACATACACTGTGAGCACTCCCCACACACACCAGTGATATCTGTTTGCTGTGTTCCTCCCTCCCCACAACACAACTGAAGAAGTGAGCCTAAATAACTGACGACCTTCACCTCCTTCTGTCAGGGCGGAAATTAAGACACTGAAGAGACTTACAGACAGACAGAAGATGCCAAAATAAAGAACAGGGAGCCACTCTAAAAGTTACAGGTGCAACAGATTAAAACCCTGTAGTTAGCACTGACTAAGCATTGGAAGGGGCCTATAGACCTTGAGAAGAAATATAAGCTGGGACAAGGAACTATCTGAAACTGAATTGACCCCACACTGCCCTCAGCAGCTCCAGACAAATTCCTAGATATATTTTACTATTAACATGTTTTAACTTTTTAAAAATTTTTTATTTTTAAATTCTTTTTTTTTAATTTTTTATTTTTAAATTCTTTATTACTCCCTTAATTTTCATTTTTATAATCTACCATTACCTTGCAAAAAATACTCTTTTTTAAAGCAAATTCCACATATATATTTTTTATAATTTTTGTGCTTTTGTTTAGTATTTTTAATATTGTTTTTTGAGAGTCTAACCTCTACTCTAGATTTTTAATCCTTGCTTTTTGGTATTTGTTATCAATTTTGTACCTTTAACAATCTAATCTTCCATACCCATTTTTACTTAGGGGTGTAATTACTGGCTTGATTCCTCTCTCCCCTTTAGACTCTCCTTTTTCTCCCACAGATCACCTCTATCTCTTCCCTCCCCCTTCTCTTCTCAACCTAAATCTGTGAATCTCTTTGGGTATTCCAGGCTGTGGAAAGCACATGGGGAATTGATTACTGGCTAGATTGCTCTCTCCTCTTTTGACTCCCTCCATTCTCCTCCTGGTCACTTCTGTCTCCCTCATCCCTCTTCTCTTCTCCATGCAACTCCGTGAATCTCTCTGGGTGTCCCCCACTGTGGAGAATCTTTTCACCATTAACCTAGATGTTTTATCATCAGTGCTGTATGGATGGAGAAGTCTTGAGGCTACTGTAAGAATAAGACTGAAAGCCAGGGGCAGGAGGCTTAAATCCAAAACTTGAGAACACCAGAGAACTCCTGACTTCAGGGAACATTAATCGACAAGAGCTCATCCAAAAGCCTCCATACCTACACTGAAACCAAGCTCCACCCAAGAGCCAACAAATTCCAGAGCAAGACATACCCAGCTAATTCTCCAGCAATGCAGGAACATAACCCTAAGCATTAATATATAGGGGGCAAAAAGTCACACCAAACCCATAGACACCTCAAAACTCACTACTGGACACACTTCTTTGCAGTCCAGAAAGAAAAAATCCAGCTCCACCCACCAGAACACGGACACAAACTTCCCTAACCAGGAAACCTTGACAAGCCACTAGTCCAACCCCACCCACAGGGAGGAACCTCCACAATAAAAAGGAACCACAAACTTCCAGCCTACAGAAAGGCCACCCCAAACACAGCGATCTAAACAAAATGAAAACGCAGAGAAATAGTCAGCAGGTAAAGGAACATGATAAATGCCCACCAAACCAAACAAAAGAGGAGGAGACAGGGAGTCTACCTGAAAAAGAATTCAGAATAATGACAGTAAAGATGACCCAAAATCTTCAAAACAAAATGGAGTTACAGATAAATACACTAGAGACAAGGATTGAGAAGATGCAAGAAATGTTTAACAAGGACCTAGCAGAAATAAAAAAG